AGATGAGGTCTCGCCTGCCCAGGCGGGTCTCGAACTTGCGGGCTCAGGCAATCCACTCACTTCAGCCTCCCAAAGGCGCGGGATTACAGGCTGAGCTATGTTGTAGAGCCGAGGTCTCATCACGTGGCTCAGGCTGGTCTCCAACCGTGGGCTCAGGTCATTCTCTCGCCTCGGCCTCCCGGAGTGCTGGGGATGACAGGCGACCCTAACCCCCTCCGCCCACTATGAGTGTCCACTTCAGCGGTCTCGGTTACTTCGGGGGACCGTCGTCGCAAAGCTGGGCACCTTCTTAAGGAGCCTCGCTCCCCGAAAACACCCTGCCGCCCCCACCCCAGGCACCACGGGCTCGCCAGCACATGCTTGGAGAGTGGACGCGGGCGTTCTCGGGGCCCATTCACGCGTAGACCCTGCGGGCGCTCGAGAGACAGGTGTGGTCCGCCGCGCGCGGTCTCAGGCCGTGAGCCCCGAGTCGCACTCCGCGGGACCGCACCGGGGTGCTGCCGGGACTTCGGGTCCGCCCTCCGCCCGTGACGTCAGCTCGGCAGCCGGCCCACGCCGGGAAAGGCCCGCACAACCCGCCTCGGCAGCGGCGGGCCCCCCGCCCCGCCCCGGGCGGAAGTCCCGCCCCTCGCCGCGCCGAGTGGCCGCCCCGCCCGGATAAGGGCGAACCCGAGACCCCACGCCGCTCCCTCGGGGTTTCTGCGAAGGCAGCCGACGCGGCTTGCCGGGGACGTCGGACCTCCCGGCCTCAGCCACGTCGCCACAGTCCGAGGCCGCCACTGTCCGGCCCCCGGTCCGCGGAGAGAAGGGGGCGTGTGCAAACAATGCAAGTTTGCAAGCTCCTGATTGGCAAGTGTGTAGGAAGGGGCGGGGCAGGGGGAGGACGAAGGAGCAGGATGAGCGCCGTCGTGATCGACGTGCGGTCGGCCCAGTGGCTCGGCAGCGGTGGCCAATGGTGACAGAGAGGGGGCGGGCGTGGACAGAGGCGTGTGGACAAGCGGGCGGGGTGTCCAGTAGCTCCGGGATGTTTTGCGGGAAGAGGCGGCAAGGGCGGTAGTTTCCTGACGGACGCGTAGTCGGACCAATGGTTCCGGGAAAGCCAGAGGCGAGTGGCCAATAGCGACAGCGATGAGGCGGGAGCATCCGAAGTCTCCGCAACGTTGTGTGGGAAACGGTAAGGGCAGGGCGGCCACAACTGACGGGTGGACGGGCCAGTGACCGAGCTAAGAAGGGTGGCGGGCGACCTATGGCGACGGCGAGTAGGCAGGGCGGGGCGGTGATGGGGCCGGGCCACAGGGGCTCCGCGGCGCCGTGTGGCCCACGTGGGGCCGGGCGGCAGAGACGGATGGGCGGCGCAGCCAGTAACCGAGCTAAGAAGGGTAGCGGGCGACCTATGGCAACGGTGAGCAGGCAGGGCGGGACGGCGACGGGGCGGTGGGGCGACAGAGGCTACGCGGCGCCGGCTGGGGGTGTGAGGGCGGGGCGGCCGTGACGGGCGGGCGGACGGGCCAGTGACCGAGCTAAGAAAGGTGGGGGGCGACCTATGGCGACAGCGAGGAGGCGGGGCGGGGAGACAGGGGCTTCGCGGCGCCTGGTGGGCCGTGCGGGGGCGGGGCGG